AACATTGCTAAGGAAATATGGGATGGGACCTTTGCTTGGGAAACCACCAAGGATGCAACTACCTATCAGAGACATTTAGAGAAGTATAGGGTGTTTGAATTCCTTGCTAGCCTTAACCCTGAGTATGATATTGCACGACAACATCTTCTTTCCAGGGATTGTGTCACTCTCTCCCAAGCATATGCTTTTGTGTCAAGGGAGGAGTGCAGGAGGGCTGTGATGATGAAAACCCAAATTTCTGATCAGTCTGCCATGGTAAGTGCTGTGAAACCTAAACAAAGTGGTGGTGAAATCAAGAAGGAAGACAAAAGAGACTTAGTTTGTGACTACTGTAAGAAGCCTAAACATACAAGAGATACTTGTTGGAAGCTTCACCCACATCTTGTGCCGACTAGATTGAGAAATAAGGGAAATGCGCACATGGCAGTTACCGGCGACACTCCGGCTCTTCCTACTACAACTGCTTTGGAGTCTGTTGCAACTGCTGCAGTAAGGGCTGAACTTGAGAGGTATGGGCTACTTTTGAACTAGCGGGATACAGCTAGTTCCAGTTCAGCCACAAGCGGACAACAAGGTATAGGTGGCATTGGTGGAGCTCACTCTACCTCCTTTGCTCACACAGGTAGTTCACACGTCACTACAAATTATGTTTCCACTTCAAGTAAGGAGGGACCTCCTTGGATTATAGATTCTGGAGCCTCAGAGCACATGACCCATAGCTCCACTATTTTTTCCTCTTACCAGCTCTGTTCTGCCAGAGATAGGGTCTCCACTGCTGATGGCTCCCATGTTCCTATTGCTGGGAAGGGATTTGTCAAGATTAATGATTCTATTTGTTTACCCTCTGTCCTTCATGTTCCTAGATTGAGCACAAATTTGTTATCTGTTAGTAGTTTGACTAAGAATTTTAACTGCTCAGTAATTTTTTCTCTTGGACGTATTTTGCAGGATCTGGATTCAAAGAGGACGATTGGGAGTGGTCGTGAAGTGAATGGAATCTACCTCCTAGATGTTCCCCCTCACCAGAGTCATCATGTTAGCAGGGACAGTGAGTCAGGATCTGTGAGTTAGATTATGTTTTGGCATAATCGTTTGGGCCATTTGTCTTTTTCTTCTTTGAGTTCTTTGTTTCCAAAACTTTTTGAGTCTGTTAGTYTGTYAAGTCTGRAGTGTGAAGGTTGTCAACTTGGAAAGCATTGTAGACATTCTTTTAAACCTAGTAATAAAAGAAGTTCTTCTTCTTTTGATGTTATTCATTTGGATGTGTGGGGTCTTTACCATGTTCCTTCAATGGGAGGTTATCGCTATTTTCTCCTATTTGTGGATGATTTCTCTCGATACTCTTGGATTTACCAGATGAAATCCCGCGGTGAAGTACCATCCTTGGTGCGGCAATTTCATCAGATGGTACTAACATAGTTTGGAACAAGAATAAAGGTGTTCAGATCTGACAATGCCAGGGAATATTTTGAAAGACATCTTGCCTCGTAGTTGTTAGAATATGGTGTTGTCCATCAGAGCAGCTGCTCCTACAGTCCACAACAGAATGGTGTTGCAGAAAGGAAGAACAAACACATTGTTGAGACCGCAAGAAGCATGATGATCACATCTACAGCTCCAGTTCAGTTTTGGGGTGATGCAGTTCTCACAACAGTATATCTGATTAACAGGGTGCCTTCTCGTATACTTGGATTCAACACTCTATTCAACCTTTTTCCTCA